ATTCCTCTCCTATCTCTTTAATCAGGATCTACATAGATATTCAATTTTGTGTAAATGAGTATAAATTCGTTCTGGATTGTATTAGTAGTAAAGTTGTTTTTATTATAAATCAATGTTATAATTCACACACTATTAATTAAATACAAAAAAAATCAACTGGTTTAACAAAGTCCCACGTATTAGGTTTGTTTACAACAAACCTATAAATAATAAACTTATTTTATTATAAATAATTAATAAATATATTTTACTTACTGATCATTTTATATAATATGTTTTTAAACTCAAGTTTATTTCAAGAATTTATAACTAGAATATAGAACATTTATTTTGTTTCCTGTCTATGACTAGAATGGTGACTCATTGTATTATTATTATTATTATTATTGTATTAATTGTATACAGAATGATTCTTTTATTATGACACACTTAATTAAACGTAACATAAATACAATATTTAAGAAAAATGTTATATCAGACTATATATTGTATATCTTGATTTATCAGTTATTAGTTACTTTTTAGCAATGTCTTTTACAACTTATTGGGATGTCAACTTTATTATTTTTAATAGTAATATACTTATTTAACAGAGATCAGTCGTGACTGGTTAATCCGAACCAATCTGAATTTATCCCTGTCAATAATTTGTGCTATTTTATAATATTAATCACATGTGTTGAGCCGTTGGACCAATTTAAAATTGATCGGGTCATTAATATTAGATCGTATGCATCTATTTTTTGAATAAATTGGATTAAGCTTAATTTATTTTCGAGTCGGATAGAGCCATATTTCTAAGATCTGAACTGATTTCTGATATTTAACTAACTTAAAAAATAGACAATCAAAAAAATGGCGGATTGTCAACAAATTTCAGACTAGTACTTCGGAAATAATAACAACTTTTAAATCTATACTGCTAGAAAAGCGCGGATATGAATATTTCAATCATTAGAAAATTTTCAGCCGCACTCCTTCCACCAAAGCATAAAAATGTTTATAAATTCCATAGTACAAGTACAAAAGTTGTTATAAACATTTTTTTAATTAAATTATTTCCTACTTTATAAATTAATTATAAATGCGTCTGTTACCATTACAAAAAATAATTTAACATCCCTATAGGGGATAATTCTGAAAAGTAATTAATAACTGATAATTCAAGAAATATAAGTAACTACAAAAAATTCAAATTTCTTTTTTTTATATTATATTTACTTTACGATTAATTGAGGTTTGATAAATGCATCGTTCTGTATATTTAATTTCATATTATAGAAAATTACTTACACTTAATTAATATCGATGCCATACACGTTTGATCGTATCCAATAGAGAACACTTTGGCATTGATTACTATTTATTATTTTTTTTTTTAGTTAATTTGTTATTTTAAATTATAATATTAAACAATGTAAGTGTCCTATTTAAATATCTGTTCAAATACTATTACGAATATGTATGGTAAATTAAAAAAATTAATGATAATAGTGAAATTATATCATCTGTTAAATATTTTATAAGTATTTAATTTCTTATTGTAAAGCTTAAAATATTTGTGTAGATTAATGAAATTACTAGTTATTGAAATAAGTGGTTTGGTTTATAATGAAATGGCACTGAGATATCGGATATAACCTCTCAGTTTGCCAATATTGTATTAATAACTTATTTAATTAAAATATGAATGAGATTTTATTTGAATTTTTATACCAAGCTAAAAAAAAATATTGATTTTGTGATGGTGCGTGTGTTTGTTTTTGTTCATAAAAATTCTCAGCGATATCGTTAGTCTATTCGTAAAAGATTCAATTTTTCATTTATTTAAACAAATTGTAATCGAAAATTTCAATTTTAAAAATAAAAAAAAAAAGTCTATAAATTACGCTATCTTAAAAATGGTATTTTCTATATTTTAAAAATTTCATAACTTTTTTAAAAATACTGATCTTAATGAAATTTAAATGAAATACTAGAAATTACAAGCTTTTTTTTGGTATACTTTTTATATAAAGCTAATACAAAAAACTAAACACAGAAATAATTTAAAAAAACCATCCACTCAAGAAAAAAAATTTATTTCTAACACAAATTTTTTAATTTTTCCAAAATCTACCCATTTTTAACCTATATAAATATAAAGCCTTTGAAGTGTACAAATATACAATATTAAAAACACTTTTGTCCGAAAATTGCTCTATTTGAGAATTAGCTATCAACGTAAAAATATTCGCAATCTTTACATAAAAATTACTTTAATTTCAATTTTTGAAAATGTTTCCTGTATGTCTGACAAACCGTAACCTATATCAAATTAAATATTTTTAAGAATACTTTATGTTCAAAAATAAAAACTTCTGGACGATAATTTTTCTATGAATTATTTGACTTTAAAATACACTATGTCAACAAAAAAATTAACGAATTCGCATCGAAGCGTATTTTGTGATAGTAATTTTAATCATTGTCAGATATCATCTATACTTGTCTCGACAATGCAACTGTGATTGTTTTTCTTATTAAGACATTTGAAGTTTATTTTTTATAAGGCATTAATTATTCCAGGAAGTTTAAGGAACTTCATGCACAAGTTAAAAATGGAAATGAAAATATGTCCCGATTGTAATCATTTATTTGAATATTTCACAGTGATTATTATCCTATTATAACTGTTAAACTTTGGTTTTAATTAACGATGAATATATATATTATATATATATATAATGTAAGTAACTTCGTCATATTCAAACACAAATCAAAACTAGTGATGAAAAATATCGAATAATAACTATCGAACTATTCAATAGTCATTCAAAAAATATTCGAATAATAAAAATATTTGATAGTTTAAAATATTTGAAAATGCCCATCATTAATAAAAACATAACGAAAAATGTTGTTATCTGCAGTTATTTAAGTTAAAAACTAACATTTGAGGGCGCGGCAATGTAAAGAACAAAGCTCTTGTAATATTAGTATATCTTTACACAAAACAATTTCCCCGGTTTTATAATACCCATATATCAGTTTCCTCTTAAGATAGAGCTTTGAATTTTAAATATAAATTAGGCTATAGTAGCTTAAAACCTTGTTATTAGGTCTTAGATCTTTATATTAAATCATTTCAAAATATAAACGTAAAATTTAGCTTAAAGGGTAGATTTTTAGTGTAAGTAAAGGGAAAAATCTAAAAATTGTTATTTTCTCAAAGTAAATAGTCTTACAGACAAAAGTGTTTTTTGAGAGCACCCTAACTTTAAAAAAAGGCCAAGATTTAACCTCCTGCCTCCCAAAAAAATCCACTTATTAAAATAGTAATACCTCTTATATAGGGCCCCCAATCCTTAATATTAAGTGTGAAAAACTTGTCTGGGGGGTATTATATCAAAAGGTGACGTTGATATTTGGCACCGGGTGCACCATAGAGTATATAACCTTATCACATTGAATTAATTAAAGAAAACCTGTACAAACATAAATATTAAAATAGCGAAGCTCTTTAGAAAACCGTTGGATTATTTAAAAACTTGATGCTAGAAATGAGATATCTAATGATAAACCATGTTAGTGGTGGGACATTAATGATGAACCATACTAACAATGAAACAATTTATGATGAATCATAAACTATGAAAAAGATTAATGTGAAGTCAACAAACAGAATTAGGAGTCATAATACCAAATAATCAACAATACCTACTGGTATTGTTGCTGACCAAACTGCAAATATTCAGAATTATCTTGTGAAAGTAGGGATATAATTAAAGAATCCTATAAAAATAAATGTGAAAACACCATAGACCATAAAGCTAAACTAATTATACTTCGATGATGAACGAGTTTTTATCATAAAATTCAGTATGGGGTGAGCACAATAGACTACAAAAACCTGAGAACATAAGCAGTTACTTTATTACCAAACTATACAACATTATTGACCTTTTTAATAACAAAATCTAAAACTAAAAACTAGAGGGCATCTATCCTTATATCCCCCGCAAAACGCACATGTTCATTGTTCGTAAAAAAAATATTAATATGTAATTTAGAGTAGTAGCATAAATTTATTAGGATTCTTTTACTTATTTAATAATTTGTTATTTATATATGGTTGTTAAATTCTATATGAAAATACTAATTACAAGGTTTGGTTATTTACTTTAATTCTTAAATAATAAATATTAATTAATTACAGACTCTGTCTGTAACATTTTTCATAACATAAGAAAATTATTAAACTTGGTTCATTTCAGTATATATTATAAGCGTTTTGTGAATAACATTTTTGATAATTTTTTGTTCATAACTAATCTTTCAGCCCGGAACGTTATTATTATAAAAAATAGATGAAAATGTTTTATATTTGAAACTAGATGATTAATATTTCTCAAATACTTCATTTCATTGGATAAATTAAAAGTTGTATTTATCTATAAATTAACAAAAGCTATATAATTTCCATAATCCTAATTTAAAATTATTGACTATTGAGTGTGACAACACATTAGTTGTTAGCTCTTATAAGAGCTAACAATTAATGGCCATGGTGACGAAGTTTCTCGAGATTCTTCTTAAACCCTCAAGAAAAATTCATTACTAACAACTACCGAACCATCTGTATTAAAAAAATACTAGTCTAATAATCTGCCCAATATTTCCGTGTAATAATTACTTGGGTATTGATGAAACGAGAAATTACTGACGCAAAACATTTAATTGAATTGCAATTCATATTATAAGCATTTAAACGTTGTTTATTGTCCTTAATCATAAATAAATAACAAAATATTTACTATTGTCTAGGCATATTTGACGAATGAGACAAAATGTCCAAGGTTAATTATAAAAAAAAAGTTAATATCATGTATTTTTTCGACTTAATGAGTCCGGTGAGCATATTATATCCAACTTGTCAATGGTCACTTGTGCGTTGACCATGAAGATCTCGTGCATTGAATAATATTACTGAAGAGGGGCGTAATACTTCATTAAATCAAATAAATAAAGCGCATCACTCAAGTCGTATGGTCAATGTTTGTCTGTCCATTGTATCATTCATAGCTCAACGTTTGAGTTTTCGCTACCAAAGGACATTTATTCAGTAATTTCAAATAAGACAAAAATGATTATCGATACTTTAAAGATCACTTGCTATCTAGTATGCATTTCCAGTGTTGCTTTTGCTGCACCCTCAACATTCAAATTGCGTAAGTTCTTCTAAATATATATGGCAACATTATATGGTTTAGTTAAAATATATATAAATATCTTAGATATAATAAATAGATTAAAATAAATATATCGTTAAAATAGTAACCATTTTATTTTGAAATCATGTTGACGTTTTTACATTTAAATTGGTTTTATATAACTACAAATCATTAATAAAGAAAATTTAGTTTTTGTTATTAATGATACATCTTAAATATTTATAAGATTAATTTATTAAATACCATGGAGTTCTAAAATTAAAATATAAACTTTGATAATTCTATACATTTAAATACTTTTAAAAAATATATATCATTCATTCGAAAACAATTGACAGTTTAAACATTTTGATTAGTTAATTCTAGAATTGTCAAATAATTATATAGATAATTTAAATGATTAAAAACATTTCAATTATTTAAGAAATTTAATTCGATAAATAAATTTATTATAACAAGGAAGCCAATTTAATTTAGGCTCATTTAAATTTGAGTATTGCTCTTTGGTTCATTTATTTAAATAAAATTGGTAATGTTTTACTTGTTGGACGCTTTTTAATAAGTATTTTAGTGTTCACTTTTTACAGAAGGTCGTTTGCAATGACCCATACTTTGGCAATATTGACTATTCCATCCGAACGAATCTAGTTTATAGTTACCGTATCTTGATACGAACGTCTTATATACAGATGTTATCCCAAATATTTTGAATTCCAAAATTGATATTGCAATCGCGTCAGAACTTTTATGTTAAGATGGAATACGCTTCAAAGGTTAAAAAAAACAGGAAATTACACTTAAATGAAAAAAAAAAATTACAAATAAGTAAATTTGAAGAAACTTAAACGATAGTTATTTGATACGGAAGCAAATTTTTCTCTTTTTCTAATTAATATATATTTTTACTCGAAATATACATGTAAATTAAAATTATAATGTAGAATAATAGATAAAATTAAGAAATAGTTAAATTAACTACTTTTGACTAACAAAAATTATACTCAATACCAAAATATAATTTTATTAGATTTTATTTGTGTATTAAAGGTGCTCTGATTAAACATAAATGATTAATTGAAGTTAACTATTTTTGTGTACGATACTAACCGGTAGATATTATGCACCTCGAAAATCTTAGTAGACCTGTATTTATTCATAATAAATGAAACAAACTTGTTCTTACATCATATTTTAAGTAAAATATTAATAAATGAAAAATCATGTAGAATTTCAATAAATATAAATATTTTTAAAGTCAATGTCAATGAACAGGAAAAGATTTAGCTCATCCGAATTTTTTGAAACCTTTTAGACAAAAAAGTATGTTGTGACCAAACAATTAAAAATTTTAAGTAATAATATGATAAGCTAATATTTGTTTTGTATGAGTTAATTGAAAAATTAGACAATGTGTATAGAATAAAATTTTTAAATATTTTAATGAAATAATAAAATAATATCTTTTATATAAATACTTAGAAAACAATAAAAGCATTTAACAAAAATATGTATTCATTATTTATTTATTACAATATTTATAAATTATATTGCATTAAATTATTAAATTATTGATATCATATAAAAAATTGAGCAACAATAATGTATGAATAAACATGTATTGAAATATTTTTATAACTCTTAAAATAGTTGTAGGAATATAAAGCCAATGGTTACGTAAATATTTGGTAAATTAATTGCCTGAAACAAATTAAAAGGTTAAGAAACTTCTTTAAAGAAGAGAGTAAGTTGCGGATAGTTAATGAAGGGAAATAGTTAATGGAAAAGAAAATGTGTAAAAAAAAATTATTTAAATCTATTATTTTATACACATTTAAAATATGGATTTAAAAATAATTTAATAATTTATAAGTATTCCTTAATTTTTATTTATAAATTTGAATATTCATAAAAAATGTAATAATGCGAAAGACTTAATTTTCCCTAACATTGAATTCTAAATAATAGCTAATTCATATGAAAATTTCGCTTTTTATAATATTTTTTGAGGTAAATAAAGCTATATTAAATCAAAAAATCTAATTAAGTTTTATGTATGTTTACATCAAACTGTGTTTTTAACTAAATTAAACTATAGCTATACTATCAAATTATTATTACATAGTAAAATGTTCAAAATGTTTATTTTTATGAATAAAATATATTATATTAAATTCATTATTTAATTTGAAAGTGGTCTGAACACTTACATAAAGTATTTTTTAATGCAAAACTATGCTTAATGTAATAGAAATGAAAATTTCAACACACAGTGTGCCAATTCTCAAGGTTGGGCAATTTATCTTCTTTTTTACTAATTAAGATTTGTTAGGTAAATCGTTAAATGAACAAATATTATTTTAGTTTTGACTAAAAATGTCACTTTAATTAAATTTAATTCGATTTAATTAGAGTTTTAAAATTTCGATAATCTATTTAAATTTTTAATCGTCTTGAAAAGTACTACCGAATTGTGCACAATTTTTTTTATACAATAGCTGTTTTTATAAACCATGTACAGACTAAAATATCTTAGTAAAAATATTATACTTTTAACAAAAATTAATGAAACAAAATTTCCAAGTATAATTCCGTAGCATTTTTCAAAAACTGATAAATAATTTTTAGCAATGTATTATGAGAACAAAAATAAATTTAAAACTTTAACGGTGTGATTACAATAATTGAAATTTTTTAGTCCAAGAAAAAAATTTTCTCGATAACTAATTTAATAATGAAACAACGGAATGGAAGCTCAATAAAGAAATGTCATTGTAAACTCTCTATATTAATGGAAACATTGTTTAACATGAGGTTAGCTACCTCAAAATATATTAGCAACTGTATCGTAAAAAAACATGAAACAATACCTCCTACATAATTAGATTTTTAATTGATAAGTAGAGTAGAGGTAGAGTTTTTCTAATTTTCCTTTTTATAAGTTCATTTAAATACAATAATATGTATAGTTTTTCTAGATTTTGGATGGGCTAGTACATCCAATTTCTACCTATATTGTTAAACTTGTTTAATATTAATACAGTTTTATGTAATAAGGCAGATTCTTTTACGAACATTCTGTACTTGTATTAGAAAATTAAATAACTAATCTTTTGTTTTTTTTTATTTTAGCTAAAGGATTTGTACAATGTAAGAAAAGTGATCCAAAATTCAACGAATGTGTTAAAGATTCTCTTCAAAGTGCTCTACCTCATTTAGTTAAAGGCAAGTGTTGATTATTAGGAGACAATGTTGTATTTTCAAACTTATACTTTTTATTTTCAAAATTGAAATGAAAAAAAAATTCATAATAATATAGCTAATGAGTTATGAATAGTACACTATAATTGAAACAATTTAAGTGAGTTTTGTTTAACAGTAAGTTACACAAAATAAAAAATTCAAAATCAAGATTTTATACGTGTTATATACTATCTCGATTTTGAATTTTTTTTTTGATAATTTTAGGAGTTATTCAAATAAGACTAATGTGCGACTCTCTCCCCTAAATTGTACACATTGATGAGTAGTATTTATCATTTATTAGCTATATTATTGTGCATATTTCTTTTTATTTCAAATATGAAAAGAACAAAATTAACATTACGAAATGAAAAACATTGTTTTTAGCTTCGATGAGAAGCTAAGAAGGTATTAATTTTACTATGATGTGTTTTTTTTTTTGTTTGTTACCACTTTTTCTCAGCTCTAACAGAACCGATTTCTTTAAACGATACGTCAAAAGAACACAAATCGTATCTTGTCGAAGACAATACCCTCAAAAATTGAAAAAATTTCCCTCGTTCCCCGTAAATAGAGGAAATTTCCAAAAAAATTACAAATTTAAAAATTGCTAATTCTTGAAAATTTTTCAATTTTTTTTACTTAAAACTGTCATTACTTTTTTAAAAATGACTGAGTCAATATAATTTATTTTCATCAGGTATTTACCTATCATTTTATATATTTTTTTTATAAATTTGACCCATTACCTGCGCACAAATAACAATTTTGTCAACTTAACTTTTGAAAGTGTTCTAGAAATACTGACACTTTTATCTTAAATTAAAGCTAATGTAATATAATTTATTATGGAAAAAAAAAATTTCGAACTTTATTTAGTCTTCACGATTAAAATGGCTACCGGATTGCTATTTTTGTATGAAAATTCTCGATTTTATATTTTACATTTTTAATTTTATTATGCTATAACTTATTGAAAAGTGTATGGATCAACACAATTTTTTTATGAGAAATAATATTTATATCCCTCTTTCATTCGACATACTTTTTTTTAAATAACATCATTTCCCCTTTTTATATATTTATATTCATATATTACACTTATAAATCATAAAACTTGTAATCAAGATATAAATAAGGAAATAGGAGATCTGTAGCTTTTGGAATAATCCATCAATTTTTTTAAATTAAACACTATCGAAAGATTTGCATCGAAGCGTTTTTTATGATAGTGATTTTAATCACTGTCAGATATCATTATACTTTATCCAACTGCCACGTCACCACTGTCCCGCGACCCTATTGTGCTGGGTTTTTTATATGTATTTTTAACGATTTTTTTTTAATAAATTTGCATTTTAGAATAATTCAATATTTTTTATAACTTTGTTTTACTTCTAGTTTTTTTAATGAAAAATAAATGTTATTTTTATAGTGTAATTTGTCTATTCTTTCAGGTGTTCCTAGTCTTGGTTTAATCTCTGTAGATCCTCTTAGAATTTCATCATTAGGTATTGATCAAGGTTCTGGACCTGTTAGTATTAAATTAAACTTTAAGGATTTAGATATATCTAATATAGGAACTGCTAAAATTCAAAATGTCAAGTAATTATTATTTGATTTTTAAATTATTGAAGTATTTATGATTTTGTATTTACGAAATAATATGTCAATAGTGTCGATTTGGATAAATTCAATATCACATTAGATATTAATTTTGATAAACCAATGGTTTTAGATGGCAATTATGACATTAAAGGCAAAGTAATTATACTACCTATTACTGGAAATGGTTTAAGTAAAATTGTTCTTGGTAAATATGTTTTAAAAGTTAATATTCATTACTTAAAGACTTGAAATGATATCGTGGTAAGTGTCAAGTTGATTTTGAGTTATTCATTATTTTCTGAAATCTAAGTTTAAAATGTCTACTGGGACATCCTTTACACATTTTCTCCTGATATGTTATATATGTTATTAGGCTACCTAAAACATCTTTCTGAGATTAACTCAATTTTTAATTTTGCGACACGTAACACGCTACACATTTTAAGTACCTAATTTATAACCAAAAATAATGTGATTTACAGAAAATTTCAAAGCTAAAATTAATATTTATCTTAAAACTATAACGAAAAATGGACAAGTGTACTTAGAAATCACAGATTTAGTATTCCGATTTTCAACAACACTTATGCGCCTGAAGTTAGACAATCTATTCAAAGGAGATAAAGTTTTAGGTAAAACAAGAATAAAAAATCTTGTTAGATTATTACACTCTTAAAAAAAATGTCTGAATTTTTACATAAACGTACTGGAAGTTTTTAACGCATACAATGTAAAGGAAAATAGTGATAAAAATGTTATACTTGTGTACAAATTTATAATACATTATGTCAAACTTACATTATTTGTTTGTAAAATTTAAGTATATTTTAAAATATATAAAGTATATCAAAACGCAAGAATTGTTTAAACATTTCTTACAGTGTATTCATAAATGTTTTTTTATAGGCGCCAATATGAATACATTCTTAAATGATAATTGGAAAGAAATCTTAGGAGAATTGCAACCCAACTTTGAAACTGCTTTTGCTGCTGCTTTTACAGGTGTTTCCAAGCAATTTTTCCAGCGAGCACCATATAACCAAATATTTAAAGACTGAATTTACTTTGAATAAATTCGATGTATTATTTAACTATGAAACTATATGAACTATACTATATATGTTATTACTGAACTATTTAATTGTACATTTTTATATTTTTTTTACTATTGTCATAGAATAAAAAATGTTTATGCTAAACATGATTTTTAGAACTTTTTAATATTAGTTAATTTCTAATATTAATAATATTGCTGTTAATAGAATGTATGTACAATTTTTAATGATAGTTAGAAGTACAACATTAAAGTAGTTTAAAAAATGATTAATTAGCAACTTTTAGTGTTAAAGAAAGACATGTCTTACACTTTCACATATTTTGTGACTCAAGGTCTATTACAACATTACCTTATGAAGTACAACATGGATATGTACTATAAAAACGCTTGTTTTAAAGACATACACTTAAATTACAAATAGAATTAACTTGCCATACAAGGTCGATAAACATTAAAATACAAATCAACAAAACTTAGATCTTCAGATTTATAATTATTTCAATTGGCATATATGGATATCTTAACGAAACGTTAATATTTAATTAATATAAGTATTCAATAATTGTTTTTTTCCAACGTTTGTCTTAAATAAAGAGCTTAAATTGATTAATAATATGGTCACATTGTGAGCTGTACCAAATAAGTGATTTGCAATTCAAATTTTCAATAATGTCGTATTTTATAATTTTTATAGTATTTAACAAAGTAGGGTAGATGGAAAAACATATTATCATCGTTTTTATTTCCCACGAGTTGATACAAATATTTGTCATTTTAGATACAAGCTTGTTATAATACTGAAATCATTTTATAGAATTCAAAACTATCATTTTTAGTAACTTAATGAAACCAATCTTACCTAATTTGTTCTCACACTAATCAGATTATTACAAAGTACAACATTAAATTAGTTTAAAAAATGATTAATTAGCAACATCTATTAAAGAAACTTTGATAGATATATTTTATTTTTACAAAAGTATTTTAAATAAGAAAGAACATAATTTACTTCAAATTGAGCATAATGAATAGATGCGATAGAGAGTTAAGGGTATTATTATCTATACCATTTTGAGAATTTCATATTACTATACTAATTTTTCATATAAATATTAAAGGAGGTATCCGTTAATAGCTATGAGATGTATTTAAAGTAAGTCTCCTTGAATTCTGACTAGAGAACTCATACATTAATATGTTATGATAAATTTTGTCAACTTTTTTTATAAAACTATATTATTGTAAGATTTTGAAAATAGCAGATAGTGTTAACAGTATCAATAGCACTATTTAATCAATTTCAAACTAATAAATATTAAAAGTTTCAGTAAATTTACTTTAAAAAGAATATTTGCCGATGTATTATTTTTCATAGATTTATTAATGAATACTTAAGATACTATTCTATTCACTTAGCGATTGAAGTATGGGTAAATGTCTATGTAAAACATATTTTCAGAGTCTAAGTATATATATTAAATACATCTGTTAAAAGTTACTTTTCTGTAATAGTATCGTTAAAATGGTACATTATAAATAAAATGGAATAGTAAACGTAATTTGGTGCATGTTAGCTATTTATAGCTAACTATTAGTAATAAATTAACAAAAAGGTATTGAACAGATTTTTTAAAAAAATAAGGTCTTGTTCATAATATTGAAAATTATATATTATATTATAAATAATATTGAATTCAAAATGATTCAAATTTGCTCATTAATAATTCTTAGAGTTATTATAGGTTAAATATTTTCACAAAATATTGTACAATATTAAATTTTTTGGGGTTTGTTATTTATAGAAGTAATTAAATAAAAAAATTACATCAACACTATTTTGTGTATATTTTATTTTGTTTTATGTATGCAAATAAATACAAATTTGGCTATTTATTCATTTTTATTGAAACTATAAAGTAATATCATAAATTAGTAAATATAACATCACCAAAACCAAAACCAAAAGATCACAAGTCGTATCTAATTGAAGACATTACCCTTAAAAATTGAAAAATTTTCCCTCGTTCCCAGCAAAAATTACAAATTTAAAAATCGATAAATTTTGTCATTTTTTTCACTTTTTTTCTTAAAACTTCCATAACATTTTCAAAAATAAACAAATCAACATAATTTTTTTTATACTAAAATCTTAGATATTTCCCTTTCATTTGATATCATTTTTTTGAAAATCTAACACTTAACCTGCTCACTGGGGGGATTTAAAATAGTAACTTTTTTACAAAAAATAACTTTTTCAACTCAATTTTTGAAAATGTTTCGTAAATACTGCGTCCTTTAAACATATATCAAATTAAAGCTTATTTTATTTTATTTTACTATAAAATAAAAAAAGGAAATTTGTCCCGACACTTTATCTTCTGCATGTAAACGGCTGCCGTAGTTAAAAAACGCTAATTTTGTGTTAAAATTTTCGATTTTCAACTTAAATGTGCTATAACTATTCGAAAAATGTAATTATCAGCACAAATTTTTTTTTTCTAAATAAATTATAAGTACATATTTCATTTGACATACTTTTTATTAAAATTGGACAATTTCCCCATTAATAGGGGGCGTTCAAAACTTGAAATATTGTAAAAAACATAGATCTTTTTCAACTAAACTTTTGAAAATGTCCCGGAAATACTGCGTCCTTTAAAAATATATAAAATTAAAGCTTATTTTATGTACTATAAAATAAAAAAAAAAATTTGTCCCGACACCTTATCTACCATGGGCAAATTGCTGTCAAAATTAAAAAAAAAATGTAATATTTGCGATTAAAATAACCTTCTATAAAAATGTTTTTTGTACATAAAACTGTCATAACTTAAATATTAACAAATCAAAATAATGTTTTTTTATATTGAAACCTTAGGTAATTTCCTTTCGTTTGATATCGAAGCGTTTCTTATGATAGTGATTTTAATCACTGTCAAATATCATGTATACTTATCCCATCTATACCTTGTCTACACTGTGCCTCGACCCCACTGTGCTACCGTTTTTTAAAAATAGATTGAGAATAAAAAAATAAATTGTAAAATATTATTTTTTAGCAATTTTCATTACACAATTTTGTATTATTGTTACCGATATATATTAAAAATTATAATTATATTGACGTACCAATATTATGCAAGTTAGAGTTCCACGCAGTACTAACATTTTGAAATTATCACTCAACGTAAGTCCAGCATCTAGATGATAAATATTTACTACTTTAAGATTCTTCCTTAAATATTTCTTTACTCTTAAAATGGTTTAAATAGACTACAAAACATTTCTATACTTTTTATAAAATTATGAATTTTATTAAACTTGGCTATCTTATTCAGACATTAAATCTGTCAGATAATGTATTATTGTAACAAGATTTTCAAGAGGTCCATGCAGTTCTTACTATATATGAATAATTATTATAACAATCAATATACAAAATTGTTAAATTTTAGTCATTAATACATTAAATTTTCAAATTAATATTGTTTGACATCAATTACTTTTTATTATTATAATTTATATACATTTGCTATTATATTATTAATGAATAAAAATATATAATGTTTTATAAGTTAAGTATAATTTTAAAGTATAAAATAAAATAATTTAACACTATTCTTGATATAATGCTAGAAATTATGTCATTTGATATGCCACCGAGATAAGAAAAAGAATAATTTGAAATTTAGCTAAAAATAATTTCTACATATAAATCATACTTTTTTTGACTTTCATATACAGTCTTCTTTTTCTTCGTCTTTATTCCGTCTATTTGAAGTAGACCAACTTTCATATAATAGATATACAAACTCATATATAGTAAAAATGATAATCGTTAATTTTGCCTCATCGTTGTAATAATTCATAAAAATACTACATTTAAAAACTGCATGATTAAAAAAAATTAATTTTTATTATAGGTTAGCATGTTTATAAATACTAAGCGTTTCTAGGGTCACACTCCCTTTAGAATCTCTTAATTTCCAATAAGGGTACTTTATTCGTAGATATCTATAATAATCTATAAGATACATTGCATACGCTAGGAAGACGTTAAATATTAATATCCATAAGATGTCTAATACACGGCTAGAAATTGATTGTAGACGTGAAAGATCTATCAATAGATCTATGAAAACCTAAAAATGACGTACCATAGACTATATGTGTTTACTGGACTATGTTATCATGTATGTGTTACCCCAGACCCTCATAAGTGTAGTAAAACCTAGTAATCAGGGTCAAATAAAAAAACGGTAGCACAGTGGAATCGAGGCACAGTGTGGACGAGGCATAGATGGGACAAGTATAGATGATATCTGACAGTGATTAAAATCACTATCATAAGAAACGCTTCGATGCAAATCTGTAGATAGTGTTTCCTTTAGAGAAATTGGTGAAATATTTTAAAAGCAACATGAACTCTTATTTCTTTAATTATATCCTGATTAGTAGTTCTTTGATTTTAAAATATAATATATGAATAAATACTAATTATAGTTTTTAAATTTAGTATGAAATTGTGAGGCCAGCTATGATGTATGGTTCATAGTGTTGGGCGGTTGATAAGAAAGTAGAGCAGAGAATAAGTGTAGCAGAGATGAGAATGCTTAGTTGGATGAGTGGAGTGACTAGAGAAGATAGGATAAGGAACGAGCATATAAGAGGAAGTATAGGTGTTGCGTCAATCGTGGATAAGATGACAGAAAATAGACTTAGATTGTTTAGTCATGGTATGAGGAAAGAAGAATCGAAAGCTGTAAGAACAGTTATAGAAATGAATGTTGAAGGAAGAAGAGATAGAGGAAGACCAAAAAAGAGATGGAGGGATGCTATTGAATGCGATTTGAGGACAGCTGATGTGAGCGTAGAAGATGTGGGAGATCGTGTCAAGTGGTAGCTTAGGATAAGGGTGCCCGACCCCAAGTAGTTGGGATTAAGGCAAAGAAAAAGAAAAAGATTACCAGAAATTCCGGTGGCAATTGACATAATATGATTGTTGTTTGGAAATGTACAATTTAGCATTTAGTTGGGTTTAAACAATATAGTGTCAAATCAATTACCTAATCTATCGGTTGTATCTTAATATACACTACACTTAAATGATACTATAAATAAATAAACTCACACATACACAC